ACGCATCAATCACATTACATCTTAGTGATACATTTCCTGTTTGGTGCAAGCAATAACCTACCATGACAACTCGGTTTGCATGCTTCCCCAAACGCTTGTCATGGTCATCAGTGCTGGGTGATGTCATAACTCCAGCATGTTCAGATTATAAATATCTGTATCCAGCAGCGTTACATAATAATGGATGTTGGATTACTGTCAGTACAGACAGGAAAAACAGCGCAGCTGCCACTGGAAATACATAAAACCACCCAAAATGACCTTTTAGTCATTTGAAGAAGAAAATGATCAGGAAACAGCTGCTTGTAAAGAGGTGTACTGTATGATATAGTATAAGTATAAAAAAAAATCTAAACACATAATTCTTCAGTAAGTTTACAGCTATTATTTTTTACCTGCATATTAAAAGTGCAGTTTTCAGAGTGCATAAATTAGGACATACATAGCTTTTGTTGTGATTTTAAACGTAAAAGCTTTATAAATTCATGGATAGTAAAGCTCATTTGCAAGAGACCGTACATTCATTATGACTTAGAGACTCTCAATTCAAGTTTTGCTAATCCATAAAATTGTGATTCAACAAATACTTTTGTGTATGTGAGGGTTATTTTTGCTACCACCTACCTCTAGTGCAGAGGTGCATGTTCCAGTAGAAATGAGGTGGCATTTCAAACATCCAGAGGTTCGGTCATCCGTTAAAGTACAGGTTACGCTGGGTCATCCGGACCAGTGTGCTCATCCAGATCATTGTGCTCTAAAATGCCTGTTAAAGAGACCAATAGCTAAAGGGATTTCCCTTCAATGTAAGCCCACAATTGTAATATGCATTTAACCCTGTATCGCTTTAAAACAAGAAATATCGTTTACATTGAAAGTTGCTTCTAAACAGTCAAAATAATGTGAATCTTCCTTCATAACAGTGTGAGACTGCATTACCAGGTGAAATGTCTTCTTCTCAGAGGACATGAATTTCATTGGGATTGATTCTACTTACCAATTATCCAGCAGCGTTAGTCTTTCGGGTTTGAGCAACATATTTGCCTCCAATCGCCGTATAGCTTTCCTAGTCCTTGAGAGAAATGAACATGGAAATGTTGAGAGATGGTTAAGAAGCCACAACACTAGACCTAATTAGAAATAGTTGTCAAGGTAACTCTCTTAGATAAAAGTGGAAAAGTATCCACTGAAAAAAATTGAGCAGTGGGTAAATTTGGTTAGAGAGAAAAACAAAACACTGACACACTACTGTCTATCCCCACTTTTAAGACAGCTACACCACAGTCTTTTAATATTCTGTGCTGCTTGTGTGTCCTCTTAAGTTTTGCAAATAGATAAGGAAATGATATATGCATGTAGGCTTCTAAGTGAACGATGCCAAAAAGTAAATAGAAAGTGTGCTAAAAAGTATGAACCTGATAAAATCAGAATATATTAAAAGAATAGCCTATATACCACAGCTCAGGCATCAGCCATCACATCCAATTATCTTAAATGAAGACATTATGGTTAAATTAAGTGGCCCGATGAGTCACTTATCATATTTAAATGTGTTAGACATAGATTTGCTAATTGGGAGACAAATGTGTTTTTACCATTAATGTCCTATTTAAAACAGGTGTGATCCCTTTTTCATTACTTTCAGTCAAAGAAAATGTGTGGTGAAATTTAGTATCAGTCTTAATAAAAGCAGGTTAAGTAGTATCTCCACTGTGCTGTGAATGCGCAGGCCTATAACTGCACATATTTGTTGTTTTCTTAAACATACTGAATGCTCTGTCATTTCTGTGAATTTACTGACCTCAGACCAGTCGGTCGCTGCACTTAGCAATATGAAAGCCATACAACCATAATGGACATGAAAGGACGCTTTCCCTTATCCGAATTTCCCGCTGTGGATTAATGTCTGCTTAAGCCATTAATCTGCTATGGAAAAGAGATATAAATGGTTGTGTTTGAGATAGGACAGCAGAGCGGCAGCAGACCTGAGATCAGGGCACTAGCCTGTCACTCAACAAAATGTAATATTTTTCTAAAAACATTTCTCAAACATGTAACTTAAATACAATGAACATACGTAGCTGCAATAAAAAATATGTGAAGTTTACTGACCCCTGGAAGTGTTGAAGAGCAGTTTATGTGAGTCCCCGCTCCTTTTGTTCGTAACCACGCCTGCGCACAGGTGATGGAAGCGAACTGTCCAATGGCTTCTTCTGCTGATCTAAAGGTGAACCAGGAAATTTTTTTTTTTTGACTCTTTATTGAACATATTACAGGTACAGGCAAACAAGGCACTTTCAATCACGTGGAAGCAGTACAAAATAAAATAAAATAATAAAATACGGGGCTGTCTCAAATTAAGTCAAACCTATTCAATAATGAAAAACAATAAGGGCTTTCTTGTCTTTAACAAGATAAAATGACTAGTTTTAACTCAGGCTTTTGTCTGCAAATATCTGCATTTATGAATAAAAAACTTCCTCAGTTAAATCATGAGAACAAGCTCTACATCTCCAATTTGATAGGCTTTATATAATGTCAAACAAAAAAACTTTTAATTTAAATGATCAAAGGGGCCCTAAGATGGCTGAAGCAGGGGGTGAGGGTTAAAGTAACCTTGTTTTGAGTTATGGAAAAATGTATTTAACACTAGGCTAAGTCAATGGTAATTTAATTTGTTGAAGTATAAGCTACGCAGTCCTAATAATTTGTTCAAGGAAGACAGATGCAACAAAAGAGAACTCAATCTGAAAACATGGAGCCATCAAGTAGAATGAAAAGAACAAATAGAATCCTGACATTTTGCATGGGAAGGTAAAAAAAAAAGGCATTGGCTTAAAGTGGGACAACTACACCGTGGAATTATGAAATATGTTACATCATGATGAAATGATTCATTGTGGGGAAAAAAGCTGCTGTTATTTAATATAGAATGGTTAGGAGAAGTCACATTAATTCTGATAAGGAAACCTGGGGAAAAGTGTTAGTAAGCCTATCACTTATAAGTCTATTACCTTTACATCACACGTCTGTATATTGATGGAACGGATGGCTAATAAGAGGCTAATGTAAAAAAAGATATATGTTGGCAATGAACCAGAGCAGATTATGGAGACAGTCACGTCTGGAGGATGAGATAAGAAAAGCTTAAGTCGATGAACAAAACAGTGACAGCTATGATTTGATTTTTAAAAGCACATTATGTGTTATGGAGGGAGAGGCTGCTGATAAAGGTATACTTAATAAGTATGTTTTTTTTTTTCATTTGTTGTTCTACACTTATAAGTGTAGGAACTATCTATTCAGGTGAAATGATGACAAAATGCATGATATTAACATTTTAAAACTGGAACACCTCAGTTTATGGGTTGGAGGTCCTTTTTTATTGAATGTTATGAGAGTTACACATTCATAACTATTTCAATGGATAACTGTATTTGACATTGTAGAAAATGTGTTGTTAAGTTTGTTGCAACAAAATCATGATGATGATCAAAAAGGGGAATTACAGATATACTAAAAGCAATAAAGAGCACAAGAATCTATTCTGTTAGGACAAGAAATATAGGAGTGCATAAGAACATTTCTTCTGTTCCTGTCTATTGTATTATGGCCTATTAACCCTGTCTTAGTATCAGACCAGTCATGTGTTGATCAGTTTATTCATTATGAACAATCTGTATTGGATCAAATGATCCACAGACAGGTGAACCAGCTTTGATTTCAGGCTACCAGGTGGGACGTTTGTAAAATAACATCAGATTATCTAACTATATACAGAGTATTATTTAACTGTTTGTTATGCAAATGCTGTTAGGTTGAAAAGGGGGAACAACCAAAATACTCATATTGTTGGGATCTTCTCACTTACTGTAAAATATGGTCGAGGTAGAGGTTATAGGGGAACTGATGAAAAAGAGTAAATTAAACAATAGACTGTCAAACTCACAAAAAGATGAAAAGTGAACTTTTCATTAGACCATTCTACCACGTCATTGTAATTAGTGTCAATAAAGTTATACTGTTGGGCATATTGTAGAAACTTACGGGAAATATATTTACAGAAATTGAATGATCACATAATTAATGAGAACAGGTCAGTAAGAAGGTGTACTGTGCGTTCTAAATGTGTGTGGAGGACAAAATGCCATTTTAGAATTGTCATTTAGATTTATTACACAATTTAAAAGTATGCATATTGAAAATACTATGCCAAGAACAAAGCAGGCAAACAACAATAAGAAAGCAAACTGCTGTTTAGAGAAGTTAAAGCAGATGGTGAAGGTGGTCTACAACTGAAGAAAAAAAATGTTTGGATTGAAAATCTCGGAAAAACCTCCAAAAAATGTAAATAGATGACTAGATCTCACAGTTAAAATCTCAGATTACAGGAAACAGCTTGATGTGTACACTAATGCTATTCCAAGTATTATTCAGAACAAATATACATGATTAAAATAAACAAGTGACATCTTATTAAATACATTTGTTCTCTTTACCAAACCCACAGTGTATCCTGTAGATGCTCACCTAAACAAGCTGCTTCATCCCAGTTTCATGTCTGTTTTATTTGGAATATCACTTGAAATCTTGAACGTCTTCATCAGTGACCTAAAATACCCCCCATGTTCATATTTTAAGGACATTCACCATCTCTCTATGCCTCTGAAGTTTTCTTTGATCTCATTCAAAGACAGAGAGGAAGTTGCCCTCTGGGGACTTCCCTCCATGTTCTTCACTAATCTTGTTCGGTTGATTATACAGAAGTCAAGCGCTTTGTGCAAACTGCTCATTAGTCCTGGAGTTAACAGCAGCCTCTTTCTCTTTTCTGTTTTCGTGTAAACAAACTGAAACTGCACATGTTTAGAGTGTTAAAGGACAATATTTATTCTGCCTGATAAGCTCAGGACCGTAGAAAGTACTTGGAGGGATTCATTCTTGAAGGCCAACCAAAAGAACTGTATTTCCTTAAACATGACAGTAAAGAAACAATGCAATATTTATAGACTTCAATTTGTTTATTTTTGAATTACATTGCTGAATAATTCTGTTCAATACAAAATACAAGATATAAATTAAAAACAAATAAAAAAGGTTACATTGTGTTGGGGGAAAAAAGTGTGTTCTTGAAATCATAATGAAAACAAATGTTTCAGTCATCACACACTGGGGTCGTGATAAATACAGTTTAATGAGTTAAGGTTTCACGTTTCAACTTCAAGAAGGCACTTCACTAAGGTTACTGGTGGACAGTTGTTACGTGAAGTGATGAATTTCATTCAATAAATCGGAAAATATTTCTTCAGATCGAAAACAAATAGAGAACAAGGACGTGGTAGTGTTGTAGTCAAGAACACACTAACCGAGACCAAGACATTACCCGAGACCAGAGTGCGCCGAGACAAGACCAAGACATTAAGGGAACGAGACTTGGTCAACACCAAGATCAAGACAGGGCCAGACCGAGACAAGACCAAGACCATAAATATCACAGAAAATCAACTTGTGTTCAGGGGGCGTGTTACTAGTAACTAACTATCTAACTAGAAATTAATTTAAATAATTTTTTGCCTTAGGAAGAAGTGTTTTTCTTCTAATTACAGTAATGACATGAGAAAGAAGCCTATCAGTGGTGGTCTTGACCGGTCTTAAAATCTGGAATCTGAGTCGAGATCAAGTAAAAATGCTTTCAATTCCAAGACCTTTAAATAGTTGTCTCGAGGCCGGTCTGATTTTGAGTATTCCTAGTACGTGGAACTTTTATCTGTTCTATTTCAAAATGTCTCCTGAGTTGTAGCAGTTTTACATTCAATTCACGTGAGTTACAGTAAATATACAAAATGAGGAGAAGACATATAGCGCATACGCTTAAACATATAAACACACATTTTACAATGATTCAATAAATCCTTTAGTAATTGCACAATATATTTTCAATATTAAAGCTGCGTTTCAGCATTTTGGGAAAGCTTTCAAACAAGAGTAAGACGCAAAGATGATACTTCCCTCATGAGGCTGCCGCTTTGCCGAGAAATAACCTGTTGTGCTATTGATACTTTTGGAAAGAGCCGATGAGCTTTCTCTCATTCCAGTCTTTGTACTAAGCTTAGCTAAGCTACCTGGCTGCTGCTGGTGACAGCTTTACATCTACATCAACATGAGAGTCAATTTTCTTATCTAACGTTTGGCAAGAAGTTAAATAATCTCATATCCAAAATGTTAGAACTATTTCTTTAAATTCCTTGGCGCATTGCAGTGTGTACACCAGTGTATTAATTAAATTAGCTATCACTGTTCATTATATCACCACAAAGGGAAGGGGATGTCTTCTAATAAGACCCTCTACTCTAGCTGCAAAGACTCCCAAACAGTGTATCATGAGGTATGAGGTAAGTGGTGCATCACACTCACTATACTTATATTCATGTGCTCAGGAGATCCTCTCTGTAATGCTGTGGAATAGTGAATGACTTTTCAACCTATTACGAGGCCGTGTTATGCTCCATCACTGACTAACAGCTGACTGCTGTGAGGTTGTGAACCATGAACTCTGTCACTCAAAGGTTCCAACTATTATGATGAGTAAAAGGAGGAGACCTGCAGCCCCACACATGGCAAGGCGGACAAGTTTCTGTGAAAAAGAAAAAAAGAGAGGAGTCAGAGGTGCTGCATGACAAACACTTTCTACTATTTCACATGAAATCACAGGCTTGTATACATTACAATGAATGGATGCATTTTGTGTTTTAAGGAGCTGGAAGTAGTGGATGAAGTGTTACCTCACGCAGAAGTTCTCATACAGGGGGTTTGGTTAGTCCAACAGACAGGCCAACAATTAGTGCAATGACAGCAAGCAGGATCAACAGAGCAAAGGCAAGGATAATGTATTTCTGCCAAGTGAAGAAGAGGTTGTTATTCCAACTTCCAATGAAGTCTGTCAAAAAGGTTAAAACATTATAATATGGTCGCATGTGGACCTGAAGCTAACTGACATTATACACACAACAAAAATTAGAAAGGAGCACATACCCTCCGAGACTTTTTCTGGTACCTCAAGGCCTTTTTGGTTTCTTCCTTTGCACTACAAATATATTCAGCCGCATCAGAGACGTTCTTCTCTATGTTGTTTACCATTTCCCCCTGTAAACATGTGAATCAGAGGGCTTTAGTTTCAAATAGTGGATTTTGTCTTTGAGTATTAGTAAAGAATAACAGTGGCTACATTCTGATTTACAAGTGAGGTGTGTCTCTAAGATGAAGCATAGACTCCGCCTTATAAGATTAAATAAGGTAGTTTGAAGAAAAAAATGGAGATAGAGCTGCTTTCCTTTTACGTTATCAACGTTTCACATTATATTTACCTGAGTTTCTACAAGCATAGCCATGTCCATGAACATTGCATGGAGCTCCTTGATGCTGGACTCCATACGCATGATGTCCTGGTGGCGTGACTCGATCTCATTCAGGGCCTGACGTGTGATCTGGGAATCAGAAATGATCTGAGGAGCAAAAAGGAAGGGAGAAAAAAAATGAAATATGTCATCCAGAAACAAGGTATTATTCCTCCCAGCTGTGAGTGAAATAAAGACCTGTCAGCGCTCTTCCCATACCCAAATGACCCACTCTTACCTCACCACTAGATGGCAGTATCAGCCGCTAGCCCTGCAATAAATATAAAGTATATGGTGTATACTGCAAAATAAAAAATGAGAGAACTTACATCAGAAGTGAAGATTGATGGGTTTCCACTTTCTAACATGTCCTCCACTTCTTCATTGGTGGTCACTTTTCCAGCTGGAATAATAAATATCAGGCAATGATTGATGAGAAAAATGCCCTCAGCTCCTGGTACAACTGAAAATGAATAATTACATTCATTTTTTTTTTTGTCAGTTAAAGTCAGGAAATATTCTAATTATTGGTGGATATACACTCAACAAGCCTTGAATTTTGTGAGTGTGCAAAAACACTGTACTTTGTTTTAGGAATTGTGTCCTTTCTCAGCAGAAATAAGACAAATATCAATGTTTACCTTTTTCCTTTACACTGTTATCAATTTATATTCTGAAAGTTCAATGAGTTCCCATAATTGATTTTTAAGCAACAGGCTGTTATTGAGTACCAGTAAGACTTCATCTAAAGATGGACCTGAATGCACATCCTCTAAATATATTGTCTTAATATAGTAGTTAATATATAGTCTTTCTTGTTGTTTTAGTTCAGCCACCAGAGAACAACACCGCTATACATCAAACAGAGTTATTTCTTATTTTATTTCTTGATTAATATTATTCTAAATTATCGTTTGTATATATTTATATTTTTTTCATGCAAATATTGTTTTTCAGTCTTCAGAATGCTAAAGTGGGATAAATGCTCGTGATGCAGATATTGTAAAATCAAAGAGTAATCATGTTTAATAATGATCTCAATATCAATAATAAAAATAATTGTGATGATGTTTTGCAGATCGAGCAGCCGTTCTTCACCCTGGTTTTAAAATCTTCAAAAACTAACACAATGTTCCAGTTGAAGGTGAGTCTGTAGCTCAGACTAATCTGAGGGAGCAAAAACATTCAAATCATGTTTAGCAAAGACAGAGTGAATACATGGAATAACATACATGATGAGCCCATGAGACTCATTAAATATGAAAATGAGTGTATGATAACTGGCCTCGAGTGACGATTTAACACTAAAAGGCAGCGGCTATTGAAAGCTTGTTGGGAGAAAAGTGAGACCTGCCATTTTTAACATTACACCTCTTCTGACCTTTTTATTTTCCCTCTAGTCTAAACCTTTGATTCATCATCAGGCATCATCAGGCAGAAAACAACATTGAGAGCCTGTGTACTTAGATCTTGATGAATCATTGGCTTATGATTTATAAAAGCTGTTTACAATTAAGAGATTGATTATCCGGTGCACTCTGTTGTAATTACTCTGATCATCATTCTTGTAGCCTGCTCAAAAAAATCACAACTTTGAGGTTGGTAAGAAGAAACTCCTGAAAAAGTGAGTGCTTTAATAATGTCAAGATTGACACCGACAGGTACGAATATTCATCTTGTTGCATTGGAAAAAGACACCCCTCCCACAATATCAGAGAAACTTGGAAGTCCTTGACTTTAGATGAGATCAGATTTGTTAACCATGGGTTTCATAACAGTTTCCATGAAGAATGGAAGAAGAATTTGTTTTTTTATGACATAACTTGTCTATCGTATTTCCTCTCGGTAATAATCACTTTTTGTCTTTTTTTTTTTGTGATTCTTTTATTTGTTTATCGTTTGATTCTATCTAATTTAATTCAGTGAGGAACACTCTTGTCATAAATTTAACCATTTCATTACAAAATGGACACACACTTTTGCTTGGTGTCAAAGGCTCTGCTCAACTGATGGTCCCTGGGTTAGCTGAGCAGCTAGGTTACCAGGTAGCACAGTGCTAAACCCCCCCAACAAGGGTAAACCAAAGGATTGAGGCGAAAGGAGGCGGCTGGGTTGGTGGAGGAGTGTGAGCAGCATTGTTGTAGCAGAGATCAGTGAGACAGAGGTTGTGTTTAAATGGACCGCCTTGATTTGAGAATAAGCTGTGATTGGTGTGTGAGTGAGTGAAACAATGATTCGATCGGATCGCTGTCATGTGATTTCTGCTGGGACGTATGACTTCCATGTCCTGCATCACCTAACGCAAAAGCTTAATTTATTTAAGAACAGGAACATTTTAATTATGATTTGACTGTTGCTCTGTTCTGAAAACAGGTTAAATAACTAGGAAAAAAAGGAATGATGCCTAGGATATCCCATGTACAAAATATACCGTTGTGTTGTTTAATCCCAGGATAATACATTTGTCTCATAAGAGTATTGAAACGGCCGTGTATAAAGCTTGCTCTGTTAGATGGAGAAGCCTCCTTGAAGCTCTATTGATGGATAGTCACCAAGGGGACACTGTTACATGCACGATCCAGACTTTCCCCTAAGCAGTGGTGGGAGATATATTGTATTGAATTTATACATTAAGAATTAGATCTGAACGTGATACTGAAATAACTAATGGAAGCGTTTCAAGTGTTACAGTAATGCACAAGAGGGGCTCCAAGTTAACAGTGTTAAATGTTGATAGCAAAAACTACAATTAAACTACAAATCACAATGCAAACCGCCGCTTACAACGTATTTATCGGTTCACTGCTAATTTAAATAACTTCATGTTTAACTACAGTCAGTTCCTGCTGTGGTTTCCAGTTTATTTGTGGGTGAGGTTGTTACGCTGGTCTAAGATTAAAAGTGTCTAGAGGATCAGGAGAGGAACAAAGGAGCCCGGCAGCCCTCGTAGACAAACAGTTGCTGAAACTCTATAAACAGAAAGCTTTCTCTTCCTGAGGCTGTGCCTACTGTTGTGCAAGCAGCACCCCAGAGAGACATGATCTGTGGGCAGGTGCTTACTGTAAGTGTCACACCTTTTCAGGAGATTATTCCTCAGGGAGGGCGCAGCCAAACACTGCAAAAACACGCCACCATCACAGCTTATCATGCACTTCGAGCAAACAGAGTATCACCTTCTGAATGATGTAGATTAAAAGGTGTAAGTCTGCATCAAAAGGCCGAGGTGACTTGTGTGGTGGCCGTGTCAAAGACAGGTGAACTACTGTTACACAGGCCGCTGAGCCCTCTGCCCGTTGCCCTGGCAACACAAACACAACAAGCCATCTCCAGTATCAGGCGACTCTTCCGTCTGCAGCACAAATAACTGGAGCCTCTCATTAATACTGCCCGCAGGGACTGTTGGAGTGAAGCCTATTTTTTACCTTTCTTTATAGTCTTGTGAAACTTAAATGTGCATAATATGAAACACCTGATACACCATGTCTTTACGTTTGTTTGTCAAACATGAGAGGATAGCTGAAGAAGATAAACAGGAATGCTGGGAACAGTGAGTGGAGTACACATGCTCTAAAGGCTTGTTGATGGGACTCGTACCTGCGACCAACATGTGTGGGACACGATAGCCTCTGGACATGGGGCACCTGCGATAACTACTAGGTTAAACTAGCGCCCACATATTCATCCCTTTAAATTTTGTAGTAGTGATTGGTTCCTGTATTCTTTCTTTACAACTTCTACTCATTAAGGTTTAATTCAAATTTGTAAGACAATGAAAATTATTGTTTGGATTCGATTAACTGTGACTTTGGTAAATACAAAAAAAAAACCCTGACATCTTAAAGGAAAAATACAACATACCATCCTGCTGCTGCTGCTGTTTATTAACAGTCAGGTTTATGTTCAGAGACACGGAGAGGAAACCAGTGTGGTCTGTTTCCTGGATCCTGTCCTGATAAAGCCTCAGGGTTTTGGTGGTCCACTCTTTTATCTCTAAATTCTAAACTCAAAATGTTTCCCATGCAACTAAATTCAATCCTTTGATGCATAAAAAAAAAGATCATACATATTGAAAAGAAAAAAAAACGTTTTCAAGCATCAAAGAATATGCAATACCCCTGGCCTTTACATGGTGTGAGGGGGTCTCCATCTTTTGTCACTTACTTATCTCCAGCTGTCTCTGGATTCTTCCTTTGCTTCTCTCCCGAAAGGACACTTGAGTCTCGTTGTACTGGGTCATGACCTCCACAAACTTCCTGGACAGCACTGTGTACTGAGGACAGATGACAACACAAGGACAGAGGATAAGAATGTACACAGTAACAACATGTGTGTGTGGGGTGTGGGGTACATTTAAATGTGTATTATTAAACGATGTTCAATAAAACATAATAAAAAGGAATGTCAATTTAAATGTGTATATTGCACTTTTCTACCGCTTGTTTTAGCTGTAGTCTATTCCAGTACATTTCTGCGGTGTGTTTTCTATGCTCATTGTGCAGATTTTAGTTTTCTCATATTCTTATCTTTATTTTTCTGGAATTCCTATTTTTTTTCCTTTGATATTGTAAATGTACTTTGGATTCAATGTGCCTGTATCTAGAATAGAATATGTAGAATATATATATATATATATATATCTACTAATTATATATTCTATACATAACCCCTATTCTCCCTGCTGATGTTTGTGCACCATTGACAGATAAGTGGTGATAATCATCTATGTTTGAGTCGTAAGCAGTCCTTCATGTGTTTCCTAACCTGTGTTTTCTGGATCCTGAAGTCCACAGAGGATCTGTTAGCTGCATCATCTTTGGGCATACTTTGCTCCATGGCTTCATAGGGAGAAAAAGTCACGAATAAACATTACATAATAACATAATACAAAACAACACAAAAAGTGTGGCAATCAGGTTATGGCTGAACTCACATTTTAGTTTAGTCCGCACCACATTTGCGTTGCCTTTGATATTGTTGGTCAGTGAAACCAGTTGGTCCTTTGTTCCTTTACACACACACACACACACACACACACACACACACACACACACACACACACACACACACACAGGAAACATGTCAGACTTGATTTGCTGATGAGGAAAAATCATGTCATCCAGCTAATCACTGTGATTCTGTTTACAGCAAATATTGAATTTACACTGATTTCCTCTTGTAACTTGGCAACAATCCTGTGGCAATAAAGCATAAAGGCCACACATCACAAAACACAAGCCCTTTGTTTCCTTCCATGTATGCACTGTACTAAGTTACATTAAACATAATGACTGATGATGCCATGTCCCTGTAAACGGACTCTTTGTCTTGTACGATCATCAGGCCTCAGTTCCACACTGAAGAGAGCCAGGAACTGAGAACATTCAGTAATAACACTGTGCTGCAAGCACCTGAATAGTGTTTAATAATACTCTGAAACAAACTGGCTTAAGCTCACTATTTGGTGCCTCGAAACATCTCCAAATGACGGCATGTTTGAATCCCTGGTTGTTAAAAAGTTCCAAACAGAGACAAACTACAATGGCTTGTGAGTTTTGGGACCAAAAAAAACCCCAGTTTCCTTCAGAAGTTTCCTGCCAAGCAGCCATTCATTTACAATGAGAAGGAAAATATAACAAAGGAAGTGAGACGTTTGTTGTATTTTACTCTGCGCCTCTAAAGTCAAACCACAGCCAAGACAAAATTAACCCTTCAAACTACAGATATATAAACTCTGAACACCAAATCCTCCCAGGTCTCCATCTTAGTATTTTGTGAGCACACACTTACTGTCATCTGGGTTTGGTGCAGACAGGATCATGCTGTGCATCTTCCTCACCTCTTCCACTTGGCAGGAGATCTTATCAATGAGTCCTCGAACTTCTTCCACCTAATGCAACAATGAAACATCAATATTTGAATTCCCAACATGTATGCACATACTAGAAACTGTAGAAGTGGTACACACCCTTCTGAAAAAGTTCTCCATGAAGTCATCTCTGTCCACCACCACTGCAACATCCTCCTCCGCTTGTGTCCTACTCTGTGCGGATAAAAAAAAAAAGTACGCGTTTGGAGACTGTTTTTGTTCCACTTGTCAATGTGTAAATACTTAAAAGAGAAGACATAACACTTACAGCAGCTAATTCAGCCAGTCGGTCCTTCATCCCACCAATCGACTCTACTTCTGCCAAGATATTGTACTAGTAGTCTACACACGCCGGGTCATCCTGGCAGTCTCCGTGCGTAGAGTAACATTACGCCACCTTGCACTGTACGAGAGCTGGGATATAGTCTACACTACCCAGGCCTACAGTAACAGCGTTAATTCGACAGATATGGGGATAACGTTGTAACTGTTTCGAAAACTATATTTAAGCTACAGATGTAAAAAGGAAAAAGCTCCACAAAATAACACTATTTTCCTGGTATATTCACCGCAGGAGCGCCAACGACCTGTTGCTGATCCACAGTATCTCTTTCACCGGGATACGCCTTTTCTCCCACCCCACTCTATCCCTCCCTCCCTCCTTATTTTTTTTTCTCATCCTCAAGGGGGAGAAAACAGTCCTCCCTCAATTAAATTTCATCGGTCCACCACGATAAACAAACTGAATTAAGATAATCCTATTATATTTCTGGAAGGGAGGGGAAAGGAAATATTAGGCTGATATCAACTTCATTAAAGTGTAACATCGTGACACATGAGTCCTCTGTGGTTTGTTTTTTAAACAACAGTGATTATTGTCTATTTTATCAGACGATGAAGTTTAGTTTGATAGAAAACACCCTCATGCAGTTAGACGAGAAGGCTCGATAAATAATTGATGAGCAAGGCTGGGTGGCCTGTGAGAGAGTGGTTGTTTGTCCACACGGGGGCGATGTTTACCCGGACATGAGTGCAAGTTGACCTTGGCAGTTTCTGAAGCGAGCAGTGATACTTCTTCTAGTGACTCCCCCACCTGTGTGTGTACTCTCCAACCCATCAGAAAATTCCATTACATATACAAACACAAAAAAGACGAGTGACTCACATCTCAATTCATGACGTATGATATTTCTTCATTTGCGCAGTGAGGTAGACTAAGTTGTTTTTTTTTTAAATACATGTTTAAGTTAAATTAAACCCACTAAAATCTACCAAGTCAAGCATAAAAAGTTATAATTTGTAAATTCTGTGTCTGTGTGCTTGTCGTTGGACCAACTCCTCCTCAGCAGCATCCCTCTCAGTTTTTGGTTGTGTTGTCCACTAGTAGAACGATTGATCATATCACATTTTCTGGACGTATATTTTTGTTCAAAAAAACAATACTTGGATCGCACCGTGCAGATCCTGATCTAATTAATTCCACGCGCAATCTCCAATTACGCACAAACAATGCCATTTACGCACAGCTGTAACGCCCATCTTTAGAAGATCCAGAAAATGACATCACGTTTTGCAATTCCCACGTTCAGTCCAACAAACCAGTCCGCCTCCACGTAGCTCCTCTACTCTCATCGCAGTTTCCAGATGCATGCAGAGGAACTCAGAGACACAAGTTGACCGTAGGAACACAGATCACGGATTACAGTTTTCTGAGTGGACGTGAATTTTGAGTTTTCAGATTTGTATTTTGTAAAGGCAATAAGGCACCTTCTTTAGTTTTTCTTTTGTTTCATGCCAAAGGAATACATTTTTTAAATTATTTTTGTTCCAATATTTTTATTTTTATTGATCATTTTCTCTAAGGTTGGACACATGGACTGATCAGGAGTGTGCAAGTGCTGAAATAATGACTGACTTTTCCTGGCTTGATCTTTATTCCGGGATTTAACAGTTAAATGCTTTCTATGGTTTAATTTCCAAGAGCTATGGAATTTCCCTTGAAAGTTCACGTTTTAACTGCGTTTATTTCTTGTATTAAGGTAAGATGTCAAACGAAAGATAACTTTCTCCCTCATTACAGTCTGATCAACCTTTGCATAGCATTCTTTAAAAATACATTTGACTTCTTTTTTATTTTAGGTCTTTGCTCAGGTGGTTCAGGCTGGGAAGCATCCAGGTAGTTTGTGTGCTGCTTTTACACTACTAGTAGCAATCTGAAATAAGATTACATTGTACAGCTATTGGAGCAGTTAACCATCTGCTAACTTTTAAATCAGGGGATGTTATCAGAACATTTTCTCTTTTCATTGTCCGGAACAGTCTTAATAGCTTTTACGAGTATTAGTTTCATTATTATCACTCTTTTAATCCCCCTAAAAATCCCAAATGTATTGCTGGAAAATACTTGTAGTGTTCTTGACTGAGCATGATTGGGGGAAAACCCTTCTGGATGCTTGTTTACCCATGAACTCTCGCTGCAGGCCTGCAGGTGTTAGCCACAGCTTCACATTACTGGCCTCTTGATGCTGTGGACGGGATCCATGAACTGTGGGACCAGATTGGAAACAGACCAGGTTATGTTAACGGCAGTAACATAAGTATGTGCACACATTAAGTATTCTGCATTAGCTCACAGGAATGCACCAACTTAATACCTTTGTCTGATTGTTCTCTGCATGATCTCAAGCTGTTTCTCAGCACCATCAAACGTTCCTCATGCTTTTTTTTTTTTTTTTAAATGTGTTGAGGTTTTCAAAGCTTTGTGAGAAACAAAACAGAACATTCAGTATGTGAGAGAACTGCAGTACTTTAGATTTCTGTAATGCGGAGGTAATGTTCTGATAGCCTACATTTTTCACTCCTTACATTCCCTATCGGCCAGTGCTGAGTAACTCTCAGCATCATATGATTGCTTTTATTGTTTTCTGGCCTGTTTCAAGTTGCACAGAAAGAATGCTTACCTTAAAAAAACAAGCAGCAGCTAACTTGAAACATTTTGTATTTTGTAGATTCAACAGTTTTAATTATCTTGACTTCAAATACATAAGAAACACATTCATAGGCTATATCATGTGATGGGAAAAAAACATTGGTTTGATGACATTTTGCTAAGCTTAGACTAAAGTTGAACTCAAAATTAGAGCTCTAGTACCACATAGTGTTTGTTTGCTTATGTCACCTGATATTTTGTCTAAAATGTACTCTTGTCTTGCTGCTCCAAAAGCAATAGATAGAGTTATTTTTTGGAGGAGGCTAATATATTGTGTTGTACTTTTGGTGCTTTGATTTGCATAGTAACCAGTGCTTTATGCATTTTAGCATAAATCCCATTCATCTGTATTCATGCTACTCGAGAAAATTTAAGGGCTTGATCATTAAGCTGCAAGTACATTTCAATTTGCTAAAAAACATTGAGTTTGCAGACCTTGTTATTAATAAACTGGTTATTGTAATTTAAAACGTGGTTAAAATGAAGAGGGATCAGGTATAGACTTGAAGATGATGTGTGGAGTCACTCTGACCTTAGGGAAATCCTCGCGTTAAGAGGAAAAAAGCTGAACCTCTGAGCGCTGCCATTGTGCACCCGGCATCACTCTGTCTCATACCTGCGCACCACGTCCCTCCTGTTGTCTCCTTTCACCTGTGTCCTTTTGTTATGTGTCTGTTTAGGTGTGAATCACTGTTTTTCTCCGCTGTCTTTGTCCAGCTCTCAGAATCCACAACCACACTGTGCTCCCTTCCTCCCATAACTCTTCTTATGTGTATACCAATGACTCTGCCTACACTAACATTTCTGCGACAGTAGGTGAGGATCACTTTCTGCTCTCTGAAATTCATCAGTGCATCACCCATTGCTCTCCCTTGTCCATTGCACACTTCTCAATCTGCTCATTCTTTTGTCCATGCTGCACAAGTTAAGACATTCTCTGCCTTTTGATAATGTGTTCATTAGTGAATACCAGGAATCATAAACATCAGACTTAATTCAATTGTTTAAAAGCCTTGTGTTATTTATTTTACAAGACACTAGACAAGTTGTAAAAGCCTTATGTTCATTAGTTACAAAGACAATTTGTGATTAATTGACTGTGAAGGGACTTTGCACAATTTGATTTATTACGTACACAGAGAACTTGATATTTTACACGTTTTGGCACTTGAGTGACCTTCTTGGCAAACAATCTCTGCTCATTATTTCAATTGGAATCATGACAGTGATTTGTGGTTTTCTGCAGATATTGTTGAAGGAATGGTCAACAAGGGCATCTTTCTGAATGGAGATAACGGTGGTACCTTTCTCCACTTTGGAAGCTACCAGAACTCTTGCATTAGTGACCCCACTTTGTGTGGTCCTGAGGGTAAGTGTGCGGCCATTTTAGCTTAACATAAATTGGAACGAGATCTTTCAGTGTTTTGTCTTGGTGGATACAAGGGGATTTTTCCTCATTCTCCAGGGATTACCTTCTCCTTTTTTTGGAAAAACCACGAGCAAGAGTCTCGTTTTGCTGTGGCCTCTGGAGGGAAAGTTATCTCCAATGGTTTCTCAGTCTACACCAATCCCTTTGGAGGATATGTGGAGTTTTACACTCGAGGAAACCATCACAGATGGAAGGCCAACATCAGAGTTCCAGGTATTGTGAATGAATTTGCCTTTATATTGAGAATGTTGGTTTAGTTTCCTATAATGAGGAATGTACTTTCTCCCTGGAAATGTGTATTTTTTTGTTATACTTAAGTTGTGAGTTATGTAGTCATGGTTTTGTTAAATGAAATCAGATGTAGGTACAGAGAGTTGATTTGGCAAGTCAGGGATAAAGTTCATCAAATCATTTGCTGTTTCACAAAACATACAATTATCACGGACATGTAATGCTACGCAGCCATTTCCCTCTTAAAAAACAATAATGTTTTGTGAAGACTAAATGTCAAGTTTACATGAAATTTGAAACTTGATACAAGTCAGACTGTGACTAATATTTTCTATTCGCCTCTGAGAATGAAAACTGTAATGAAATGAGATTAAAAGATTTTGTAAACTGTTTTGACAAAATGGGGAAAAAACAAATGAGGCTTACCGTTATGTGAAACTGTTACAGATCCGTATTTTGTTCTCAAATGACTTTTGTCATCTGTGTCTTTGCTGCACTAAGTGAGGGTTGTGTTCAAGGGCCGGCATAACTCAATTTGCATTGGAGTGTTCAGTCACAGAGGATCAAATGCGATCTGGTTTTCATAAAGAGTGAAGTTTCAGGACAATTTTCTCTCTGCTGCAAGTGTGAGAAAAAGCTTACAGCATGAAGGAGTAAACCCTGAGGTGCCTTATGATAAACATACATTTTAATAGAAGGCCAGAAATATTACATTCTACATAAAGAAATCTCTATAAAATGAGGTAGCCTACAGGGGAGTTTCTGTCTTGATGGGTTTGGTCTTTGGCACAGATGGGTTATATTCTAAACACAAAAGAGAGGTGCTCTGGTTGTTTTGACATGTTTTCAGACAGTGGATGTTTACTCTTTTGGGACTGCTATTTTTGTCAATTTTCTTGGAAGAAACAAGAGAGAGCAAGATCCTGGTCATATAAAACTGACAGGATAAAAGCAGGCAGAAGAAGGTCAGATAGTCTTGACTTCTCATGGGAGGTGAAAATTTGCGCGTAAGGTAAAAAAAAAAAAGTACAGGACAACTTTAATGCCAACATTAACAAGGAGATTGATACTTACTTTGGTGGCACCTTCACTTTTTTATCAAACACATTAGGTAGGAAATTCAAATGGTCCAGCACATTATTGAAAAAAAAGGAATATACCATTCCTATTAGCATCAGCTTTTCTTTGTGTTTAGGGTTATTTAAGAAGCGTGATTATGCTAATTTGCTGAACTTAGACGGTAAACAATGTTTCTGCTAACTCTTAGCATGTTCATGCATGTTAGTAGGCTAACATTTAGCTTAAAGCTAGATGTAAATGTTGAGGCTTGAAGCTATGATACATCTCACAGATCGACTAGTGTTTTAGCTCGCATGCTATCACAGCAAATTAGCATTAGCAAATATTTCTTGGTTCAAGCCAGGATAAATGTGACGTTATAACACTTTTCTTTAAGATAAATGACACTAAACTGAACATCATTGGACAAAACTTTCTATTTGAGAATTTCTAGTGTAAATATGTCAAGTAGTTGCTGATTCAGAAAAGCATTAATATTGATTGATTTAGAAAAAAATCTCGGTTTTTGAATTTTCAAATTTGAATTAATATCACATTTATCTACCTGTATTTATTCTGTTCAGTTCAATGCTAAACTTTGTTAATATATATTACTGGTATATTTTTGACTGTGTCTGTTTCCTCTTTTAGGGCCTTACTGGACCCATATTCTTTTTACCTGGACAAAAAATGCTGGTCTGATGGTCTACATCAACGGGACTTTCACCACGAGTGACACAGATGGAAGTGTGTCAGAGAACTATGGTGACCCTTACCCTGACCTGGTCATAGGAACAGGAAACGACAGAGCATACGGTCACTATGTCACAGGAGCTTTCGATGAGTTTGTCATCTGGGAAAGGGCTCTTTCACCTCATGACATCTTACTCTACTACAGTGCAGCCATGGGTAAGACATCACGCTCTACTGGAAAGTATTTCCTCTCATTTCTGGACATCTATTTCAATGCTTCCTTCCTATTGACTGCTCTAAAGAAAGAAGGATTAAAAAGCCATTTCCTTCCGTGTCCTCATTCGATTCCTTCCACAGCATTTAAGCTGAATGGAAAGATACTAAACCGTGCAAATATACTCCAGCTCCCTGTCAGAAAGGCTATTGTACAAAACATTTTCATGACCTTCCACCATAAAAGTAGCACGTCTCACATAGTTCTGCCTTATAAGTATTTATAACAGTGCAGAGGCATTTTAGAGGCTGCAGGGGGAATCATTTTGATTTACTTTGACAGGTTTTAACACGCTAAGACAAAATACTCACACTTTTGTTCGCTTGCTGTTTACCTCATTTGGACTTTAGAGCACCCTAAATGGAGGATAACATATTGACATTTATGAGACATGTTTTGTGAAAATTCATATAATGAAGCTTTATTGCCACCCTGAGTAATGTTCAAAGCCTGTTATAATGTACATCTTTTAGCGAGTATATAATAATCACTGATCAGTGAGTGACAAGATGCCAAAAGTATATAAACTACGCTCTGTTAGCTTCAGCTGGTCACAATATATGAAACAAAGAGTTCATACTTTGTTGAGTTCTTCACACCATTACTGTTGAGGTTACAAGCTTAAACATGTTAACTTCTTCAGAGCACACATGTCAAATGTTGCATCGCACCAAAGATGAGTAAGAAAGGTTAATGTATGTCCATATACAAAGCTTTTCTAGTAGCTACTGTAGCCTATGCTGTTTAAGTAAAAGACAGCAAAGACATAAAATATCCTAATCTTGAACAGAAGCTAGCTGTTCTACAGTATGGAGCTTATTACCCAGTTTTGTACAGGTTGTAATCTATCTGGTTTCATGACTTGGCCCTGTGCAGGGGCCTCATAAAAAAGTCAGCTGTATGGTGATAAATCCCAGCTACATCACAGCAGCCGAGCCTGGTCAAGTTCAACAAAGGACCTAATAACAAAATCATAAAGATGCTTCATAAACAGCAAGCAAGGGATATCCAAACAAGAAAGTGTGACACAATGTTTGTCATCAGTGATGTGCCTAACCTAACTCTAATGAAGTCTTCTGTAATTAATGTTCTAGGTCAGGCCATGGTATCTGCCACAACACCCAGAGTCTCCAAAGAGGTCACTTCAACTACACCAGCATCTGTAAGTCTGTCTTCTCTGACTCTGAAAGGTTTGTTCATTTAGAAATACAGATGAGATATCTAAGCAGTGGTGACAAAGAGCACACCTTCTTTACTCATACATCAGCATAGATACTTCTGAAAAAAGACAAAAGAAGAAGAACTTCTTCACTGAAGTAGAAGTGAATAAGTACAGGCTCTTAACGGTAAGAAAAGTTAAAGACACCCCCTAAAAGAGATTTTCTTTGCAAAGCTAACTAAAGTTTAAGTTATACATGTGAGGTTGTTAAACCAAAATCACCAAGACTTTTTAGTCAAATTTAAAAAACAATAAACAAAAGATAATGAAAATATATTTTGCTCCAATATGGGAAAGTATCTTTTATGCAGATGAAGTTTCTTTCTTGTCTGTTTTTGCTACATTTGTAGTGCATTCTTCCTTCATGACACTGTGTGGTCAAGACACATTCTTCCTTCATGTCTCTGTCCCATTCATTCATTTTAAATTGATCTTGATGTTGGGAAATTTTGCAAAATAACATAATGAGTAACAAGCCTGTTTTTTTAAAGTTGAGACCCGCTGTGAGGGGCATATGTGAACAGCCAGGTCAGGAGAATATTTTAGAAGCAGTCCTCCTGAAATGATCTAGATATTTTCAGGAGTGCGTGTGTAAACAAACGGCTAAAGACAGCCTGAACAGCTCTACGTGTGGTAGAGAGTAATAGTCTGTGATAGCACCACCCCTTTAGGAGGTAGTCATATTTGTATCGAATGTAAGGGGTTAAAATTAAAAAAGAGGTGAGAAAATAAATAATCAAGGAAAGCACAGATACCTGAACACTAATTTAGTACAATAAAGTATTTGTTGGTGGTTATTTCCAACCTCTGTACCTACATTTCTGTTTATCAATGTGTAAATCATCCAGGTACTCTTTAAAAATTAAATGTTAAAATAAAAAATATATGAGATAAGATAAGATATACTTTATTGTCCCCAAATGGAAAAGTGTTTTGGAAAAAGGTAAGACACATTTGCATAGATTTAAGATAAAATAGCTAGAAAACATGGCTTTTTGGGGCACATGTGAATAGAGTCATTCTGATTATTAAAGGACTTTGGAGGTGGACAACGGACACATAAAGAGAGTGAAGGAAAGAAGAGACAGCTGTTTCACACCACACAGAATGACTCCTTCAGAGCAGTCCCCAAACTCAGCATTGGTCAGCATCAGTCACTAACATCCTGTGTGTGCTGGAACTCACCGCCTGATGTGTTTTCTCCCCAGAGAGCGACTGAGGTGAGCCCCCCTGTCGACAGCAGTCAGCAGGTGGAGGGTCAAAGCTCTCAGGACTCACAGGCCATGCCAGGGCTGTGCTTCCCGAAGGGGATGCCAAATAGGACCATTCCTCACAACACTGCCAACAACCTCACACAGGTCTTGGAGCACACACACATATAACACTTGAAACAGAACTGTTCACAGACACACACAAACACAATGCCCACCCATGTGTATACGTATGATGCAACAGTTCCTAGATGTCTGTTTTCTTCCACTCAGGCTTTTCTCAAAAGTGTGGAAGAAGTGCTCTCCTCTCCAGTGGTGCCAGAGGTAAATGAGTTCACACTGTTGTGCAACGTTCAAACTCTACCTAATGCAACGTATGCAATTTGGTGAATACTTTAATCCAAGGCATTTAATAGATTTCTGCGTATGAGATTTTAATGCTGCATATTTCGAACAAGTGATGCCAACAGCAATATGAAGACTGGGCAGCGGACCCACTCTGGATTACAGTATGTGGTCAAATAAGCTGGTGAAAATAGTTTGATACCAGTAATGTAAGCTTGACTATAGAGTACACACACTAGAGTTACATTTTTGAAGGTAAACTCGCAGCTTCCTGTACTCTACACTCATCCCAGTCCAATCTCCGGGCGCCTATATACAAACACATTGTTGCCAGAAGAAAAGCAAGAGCAAGTTTTCTCAGTGAGTGTGTGGTTTCAGTACATTGAGTGCTCAGAACAAGCCTGCTTGTTTTTGTAGGAACAAGCTGAAACAGATGTGCTTGTATGAGAACGCAGAACTGGGATGGATTTAGTGTCAGTAAATCCCCTTTTCGATGATCTTTCTGATCCGATTTGTGCTGAGTGTCAAAAAGCTTCACTTTTCAAACTTCAGCCGCTAATTGGACTTTTGCGTATATCTCGTACATTTCAGGATGCAGATGGCTGTGCAGTATATGCTATTATTATTCATTTTTGGAAATGTTAAAACGAGACAATGTCACTCGTACGAGGACATATAATTCATTCTTCTTCTACAGATAATGAAAAGTTCAAGTCCCATGAAACTAATGGCTCAGTTAGATACATTTAGTAGTTTTGTTGCTACAGCACTATTTAGTCAGTTGATTATGAACACAGAGTGCAATTAGGTCTTGACCACACCTGAGGGGAAAATAACTCATGGCGTCCCATTGACTTTGTATTACATGAATGACCTGTGTGAAAGGCTTGTGTGGGTGTACTAACAATAGGGTAAAGAACCCATAATTAAGTTTTTTGAAGCATCCAAACTAAAAAAGATGGATCCTTTCAAAAGGCAACTGGTGAGGTTGAAGCTTAACTATTAAAGACATGCTTGTATTTTTTTGTTAGATCATATAATGAGCTCTTCAGACGATTAAACCAGATGGTACATGCTGTCAAAGTCTCTGATTTCCAACCATCCCCTTTCATTCACTCAAAGAAAAGCAAGAGAAAGCACACTGAGACGGACCGACAACACTTAGTTTAAAATATATATGTATTATGGTTTGACGTGGTGGCAATTGAATTGCTAAAGAAATCCTTTGATATTCTGATTGCTTGTGTTTTGATGATAGAGATTTTTTGTTGTTGTATATCAGCACTTGGTAACAAATTGTGGCACCAATTGTTATGCCGTCCCGTTAGTCTTGTTTACAGAGCTGGGACAGTAGGTCCTAAGCTATAGATAGCTAATGCTAAAGGAATTTTACATAAATATGTAAATTCACTGATTTTATGACACCTCTCTCCTCAAGCTACTGTGACATGGTTAACTTAGCAGATAAACACTGTGAAGAACTCTAGCTTTATGTATTATACATTACCGTTGTAGTTGTTTTTGTAACTCTAGGGAAGTTACTGTTTAGAAAAAGTTGCATCATTTTCTTGAAATGGAAACTGGAGTGCACAGTATCTATTTGAAGTTTGTGAAGCATTAGTTTAAAAATCAAATTTTAAAATAGTTAATAAGACGTGACACCATCCTTTAGGTTAGCACGAGGCAGCACTGGACTTTGAAAAGCAGCAACGATGAATTGGTTTTTTAACTTTCATGTATCTGTTGGAGCAGCAGTCCATCCCTGTGGTCAGCGGTCTGATTGAAACTGTGGACAGAGTGATGGAACATATGGTGACTAACCTGGAGCCCACCCCGAACTCTCTCATCTCCCTTGGTGGAACATCTTTTGTTGCTGGTCAGTACTCTCTCCGCTCTCCATAAAGTGACTCACTGTTTTTAGTTTATGTGGACTCACTTAGAGGGTAGAAATACATGCTTATGTCATACGTTTTCACAGTCAGAGGATACATGCAGGTCAATAAACAGAAAACAACCCCTTCAAGTTTGGTGTGGGTCATTTTGCATAATATTTAGTTTTACCCTAAGTTTGCTTGTTTTTTTCTCCCTATAGGGTGGCTTCAACCACCTTCGTCCACCCCTGATAAAAAACACATTTCCTGTTGCTTGTTCTTCATGCTATGAGTTCTAAACATTTCTTGCTTTTTCTAACTTCTGACCCCCACAGATTACTCTCTGATGAAATTCCCACAGAACTACAACCTTCCACATTACCGCTTCCCTGAACTGGGGAAGAGCTACATCTCCGTACCTGGAGAAGCTTTCACCATGCAGTGTAAGTGCAAATAGTGCAAACTGAAGTGACATGTAGCGATGAACAAATTGGATTCACTGTATAAAATGTAATGGACTCTCTAAGTTGAGTGTGAAAATACTGCACATTAGTCCTGCTCTGATTCTGCCAAGACAAAATCGTCCAGCTGGGAGTCTCTTGTTATCGGCCCCTTAATTTATTATACTCAGATTTAAGACTACTAACATAGCATACAGTGCAGGACAAGAGTGCCATGAGAGCTTTTGTTTAACTTTACGGTGCACCGTAGAAATCCAGCTATGACTTTAATGTTGGCAGTTACCCTTTTATCCAAAACCAGAGAGAGAGAGCACTTTCTCTCCACTTTCCTCTGTCGTTAAAACGAATGGACTCGCATAGCGGAGTGAGGGAGGGCAGTGATTACTTTGGTCATTAAAACTCTCTTTGTTTGACTTTATGTTCAGGTCAGATTCCCTTGGCTCTACCTGGCAGCTAAATATACAGTGTTGCCTTAAAATTAGTTGAATAAACCATTTTAATAATCCATTATAAGGCTTTTAAGAGGAATCAAATACATGAAATTGCTTGACACATTTGAGCCAGAAGCAAATTAAGGCATAGCTCAGTATACCTGGATGTATGAAACACTCCAAGGAAAGTTTTTTTATATACTAATCAAGGAGGGAGCAAGCTGCATTGGGACTTTTTTTCCTTATTTTCTCTCTTCCTAAGGAGAGTTGTACAAGCAAGCCGACCACCTTGAGCTCCCCTGTGGGACTTGCAGAAGGTCTTAATGTTGAAATTATATTTTGGAAGGTTCAAATCTCCCCTGCAGCAAACGCACCGCACATTTGTTTGACATCAGCAAGCTTTTTGTTGTCACAGTCAGCGGGGCTCGGGTAGAGGCCCTTTGAAAGGAGGAACAGGACCATTAAGGATTTCCTCCAATTTCACTGTTTATCTTGCAGTATTGAGGTGGGACCTAGCTGGATGATAGGTCAGATTAGGGGAGGGGGAGCAGACCTCCTGCTCTCCTGGTGAAGTCATCTAGAGGTTTCATAAGATTTCCCAACATCCATGTGGTCTGCAGCATTCCCCCTTTCACCCTTGTGCGAGCATACTGCCGTCCTATTAGCCTGCCGGTGTCAGAGTGCGGCGGCAGGACGGCGTTAATTAACTTCTCTTCTTTGTGAGCATTTTAACAGGACTGCTTTACATTCCCAGCCTGCTGCCCATGTCGGTCATGTTCAAACACTGTGTGTTGTCTTTTTCTCAGCTCAAACCACCATCGTTGGCCTTTTCTACCACAACATGCACAGCTACTACAAAGAGATCAGCCCTGCTAGGACCAGGTAAGAAGACGAGACAACACAAGAAGAAAAGTGACCTTGACATTTTTGGTAATCCAGTCCGAGGCAATCACACTACTTTTGTTTATTTCACAAGTTTTTTTCTGAGGGAATAGATTCTAAACATCCTTCAACCAAAAAAAAGGAATAAACAGTCTTCGTGCTCTGAACTTCCTGTGTGGTGAACCAGGTCCTCTGGCGCTGAGGCGCCCCTGCTTCCTGCGCCTCAGAACAGTCGATGCCTGGAGCCAAAGCCTTATCTGTCCTCTGGCCTATCTCTCATCTCACCACTCAGCCTCCACTGACTGATACACCCTGCTATTAGCTCTAGATGCCCCCCCTCCTCATTTATTGTCTAATCATGGACCAGCTTGTTCCACTTCTGCTGCATTGTTTATTTTCACTAAACATGACATAACAGCCATTAAGCAACCTTCCTCGTTACCTCCTAGAAGTTAGAGTACATTATGTTTATTGTATGGAGATGTTTGTGACTGCATGTTTTTACTGAGGCTGCCCAACCTCTATCTTCTATCCTCTTGTTCCCTGTTTCATTAAGGAGAGGTGGCACTTGTATGATCCCAATGTCACATATAAGTTTATCTTGAAAAAGTTTTGATGCAACACTGCCTGTTGTCAGTGTGATAGCTTACATAGACGGATGATTAAAGTCACACATGAATGCCACCTCTCTATGCCCATGTGTAACACTTAAGTGTTGATTTGTTGCCACATTACAGTGTTTTCTTTCTGGTTTATTTGACCTCTTTTCTCGCCTTACTTTTATTATATTCTCTGTGTCCGTTTCCTTCTTCTTCTCTCTATCCTGTAGGATAAATGAAGCAGCTGATTTCAAAGATCACAAAATCCAAGTAGCAAGTTTTCTAATCTCTCTGAAAGTGGAGCCTTCACCGGCCCTGTCAGTCAACCTCTCTGGAGCTCCACTCATCAAGATTGTCCTCACCCACGTCCTGGTAAGTGTCAGCCCATACAATGTCCCAGTTTCTTCTAATCCCAATCGTTCTCAAATTTCTATGTGAGTCAGCCATGCTTGGAAAAGGAACTTCATTTCCAGTTTTTGGGTGTGGGACAGCAACCTTATCAGAGGAAAGAGACTAATGTGGTGCCTGTGGCTACAGTAGCTGCCCCCCCCCCTTATGAAACCTATCAGCTCTATTTTTGGTGCTCTCTTATGTAAGAAGATGAGCATCTGTCACTGGCTGAGGCCTGTGCAGCTGGGCACCCACCAGAAAAAGGAGAGACGCCTGTTTTGGTTTTCATTAGCCCGCCTAAAGTTTTCCTCATGGAGCATGTGGCATCCAGAGAGCAAACTGATTATGGACGTTTGAAATGCAGGCTCAGGGCGCTCTATAAAGGAACAATAACTTTCTTTTATGAACAACATATTTTTCTTTGCTGCTTTATGGAAGATGGTGTGCCAGTTTTCCATGGGAAATGCAGCTGAATCTCCAAATGATTATTAAGTGAAAAATGTGTATCACATTAGCTTGCATCCTTGTAAAGTCATCAATGTGGCAGTTTACTTCACAGCCATGTGGGGGTTTTTAAATATTTTTAAACAATGACAAGATTTTTGGGCCATTTTCTTGACTCCAAATAAGTGTTGTTAAAAGTTTGTTTGGCTATCATACAAAAGCACTAATGAGGCTGTTAATAAAACTTGTTGAGTAATCCCAAACAATGTATTATAATATTCAAACCCTAAAAGGAATTATTCACCATCTATTGAAGTGAATTACCAGATTTCTTTTTTTGTGAAGAGCACAAATCTAAGCCATGCAGCTTCATGAAACCATGGCAATATTTCTTTGTTTGCCTTCAATTTCCCTGGAGAAATAAATATTTATGCTGCAATAATCTGGCTTCGTTCTTGTGACAGTGTTTGTTTAAGCAGACACCATGGGAGAGGGTTTACAATCGCCTTTGTTCTGGGAGTGCAGGGGATGCTAACCAGCTCGGTTGTGACGCTGTGTTTCTATTTTAGTTTAACTGCCTTTAACTTTGATGTAAGGATAAATCAGGCTTATTACATTCTTTAACCCGAATTCAAATCGAGTAATCTGTTTTTCTTATTATTACGAATACTGATTGGAACGCACCATGCCAGCACACTTCAAGTTGACTCAGCCTGCATAGTTTGGACTTATATTTAGGAGCTGCATAGTAATTTGGCACGCAGTACTTTTGGCTGTGATGGTGTCCAGAAAAAGGGTTGCTTTGCTATAACTGAGCTGCTCCACAGACTTTATGTTGGATTTCATCAAAAAGTGGCTATTTTGGGAGTTTGAACGTCTTGGGCAGCTGGTGGATACTAATCACCTCCCTTGCTCGGAGTCAGGGAGGGCGGCTCACACAGTATGTGGCAAACTTTTCCCATCATTGTTTATGTTGCTCTTTACTGTCTGCACAAGTTCAACCTCAAAGATGTCCTTCACTGGCACCATTTCAGTTTGCTTAGAGGAAGTGATTTGCAACCGAGCGCAGACAGGCACTGAGTGACTTCATTAAAAGCTAGCGGGAGGCGTGAGTGTGTCTGAGGAAGAAATGTGTCAGCTTCCTCATCTGTCTTTTCATGCTGTCATGGTTACAATAAGTCCTGTGTGCCTAACACTCACCTTCTATCGTGGCTCAGACACTGATGTCATCTATTTTTCCTATCTGACACCTGCCATGATACAAGGAATTGTACAGCTGATTGATGGAAATGATAAAGAACTTTGTGCCATGGCAGGTACCACTCACTGAAGGTCAGAATGCATGTTGTCGGGGGCAGGGTGACCTTGCAGTCTTGATTAATGCCCTCTGAGTACACTGAAACATCCCTGTGAAGTCATGCTATTCCCAGCGGACTCAGGCTAAGCTGAGATGCGGCCATCCCACGTTTTGTGGCACAGTCAGAGCGGGATTGATACCCAGACAAGGTGTTATCAAGGCTGCTGGAGGCCTGCATGCTTTCTCACGCCATAGGACTGTGGTGTTGAGTGGACCCTGGCTCCGTCAGTGAGTTATTACAGCTGTCTGACTCAGGTTCAGTTTGAAAGAGCCTGAACGCAGAAGAAGGGAAGAAAAATAGAGGTTGGGAGGCATTGGGGTCTGTAGTTAAACATTAATACATATATGAAACTGCTAACCTCCCCCCATGTCCTTAACCTCTGCCCACTCATCATGCTGATGGTATGAGGTGAGTGAATGGAAAGATTGATTTCAAAAGGGGTGATGATTTATAGGGGTAAAACTAAGATAGTTGAAAAAACAGATTATGACATTAGAGCTTGACTTTACAGGCCTACAAAGCGTTATATGTTAGTTTGGGGGGTCTAACAGGGTTGTGGAACTGTCCTTAGTTTGTGCTTTATTTTGTTTAAGATGTTAAATAAACCAAAAGATATTAACTTCAAACTAGTTGTGCAACATTTAATCTTTGCTCATTGGTGGAGCTTCTCTATGATATAACTGGCACCTTTTTTTACATCTGTTTGTTGAAGCTTGCATGCCAGTATGTTAGTTTAGCTAAGCTTTGTTGGAGACATGGGAAGAGCTATCCTGACTCCGTCCAGATAAAACCAAAACTAAAACTTGAATACTTAAAATACTTTCTGTGTCTAACTCTCATCATTAAAGCTTACAGGAGGATTTCCCACGATATCAAGCTTTTGCTTAAACAACTGAATTTAACAAACAGACACCGGTAATGTTATCGTTACTTCTTCAGCTTAAATATTAACTATCATTCAACTTCTTATCAATGTGTTTTTAACAGCTAATAAGTGAAGTTTAGCTTAAAAACAAGAGAATCCAAATTGTCCAAAACGAAATCTACTGACATCTATTTTTTCTCAAACTTTTACACCCAAGAAAACAATTTCTTCGCCAGCTGTTAAACAGTCTTAGCTAAGCTAACTGGTAGCTAGCTTTATTCAACAGACTCATCATTTCTAACTCTCAACTAAAAGGCAAAAAAAGTATGTCCTCAAATATCCAACTAAATTGAATGACACATTGTTTTCTACAGACACCTCATAAAATCATGATTTCCTTTTGGCCTTTTGGTCAATCTCAGCCAAAATGGAAATAAGATTATTTTCTGAAACGAATGTTTTCACTTTAAACACTTTGATCTTTCTACATGCACTAAAATAAATCATGATCTTCTTAGATAAACATATAAAAAAGAAAATATGAATACTGTACCGATCAAATTGAGTCAGATGACTCTCCCTTACTCTTCACTTCATGTATTAACCAAGGGGACTCAACCAAAACCGTAGTGACTCACTTTTCTATTGATCTTTGAGGACGTGAAAAAATTGACTGGAGATTGAGTAAGAAATCTGGGGATGAAAGGGAAACTGGTCGGCTTGTTCACAAGACGTCTAGACTTTGTTGGAGCTTCCTTTACATGTAAAAATGATTAATTGTTCAGCAACTTTGACAATAAACAAGATAAATAAACATTTAACACTTTCACATACCCACACTCTTTATCTTGTAATCATGCCAGCCAGTGCTGGTATCAGTCCTTTCAACCACAATAAGAACGCTCTGTTTTGCCAGTCTTTTTATAACTCCCAGTACACACCCAGCATAAATCTTGTGGGCAAACTCTCTCCTAAATCCCTCCCAGCCACCCACACCCATCCATACGCCAGCACACATACAAACACCGACTGTATGAGCCAACACACTGATCAATCACAGATGGAGGTCTGGCTTTTGCTATCCCTCTCGTGTCAGAAGAGTTTGGAGTCTCTTTTCGCGGCTCCTCCCAATTTAGCACCCCCTTTTATCAACACACCAGACTCGCCACCACAAGACCCTCAGCTTAGCGCTCCATGTAGAAACGTGTAGAAATGTTTTGTTTCTGGTTGTGTTTGTAAGAGTCTTTCTATATGGTGCCATTTGAGAGGGTGAAAGAGGTACAACTTTTGAAACAATGGTCCTAAACAATATTAAACCAAGTGGTTGCATTTGTTATTGACATCCTTAAAATTATGTATTTTGTTTATTTATTTAAAATAGGGACAGTGCACATTAATGAACATAAAAATGTAAATATACCAGATTATAGGGTTATAAGGTTTGAAACTTTTGCCCACAGTTTCCACACAATAAGATAGAGATTGTCCATGTGAAACATGTTGGCAAAACTTTAATGGCAAAACTTGAGTTGAGGGAGGAGAGGCATCTGGATAGAGAGTCCAGTATTGAGGGGAGGACTCTTGCATATTGATGACTTTGTTGAGTTGATGTTACTACAATTTATAAACAGAGGAGCAAAAAACAATATTCATACAACTGAGGCAACAAGCTATGAAGCAGCTGATCATAGTGCAACTTGGATAGTGTCTTCAACATGTTACCTTTCTCACTGTGAATGGCTGTGAATAGATCATAAGAGTACTTGCTGCCAGCTGCTAGCAGGTGAAAGTTGGCCTTCTCACTGGCTCTGGGTAATATCCTGACATATTCACGAGTGCAGTGCATTTGTGAAAGTGGCTTCTTTTATCCTTTTTTGATCCCACATCTTTCCCCACATTGGAACTTCTCTGCAAAGATTTAAACGCAGCCGTTGACATGTGAATGTAAACATGTAGTTCCCACAGAAACAGACCAGAAACCAGAGAAACATTACAATGGCCTCTTGTAAAATCCTTGGGGAAGTTGACACATGGATCCATGCATGGAGAACCTCTCTCCTTGTCATGTCAGTCCAGTTATAAAAGGAAAAAACATGTTGTTTGGAACCTATGAATTTGCCACAGTACACTATTTTTGTCTACCACTCACTTAAAAAAGGAAAGAACAAATCTGAAATTCCTGGGTTGTTAAATGGACCCCAGTTTTCCTCACACCCTGCATACATATCAGCACGTCTCCATATTTTCTGTGTCTACCTCGGAGACTGAGCTGAGACCACAGCTGCACATCTTATTTCATTTCCCCTGACAGCATG